CAGTCCTGATTGGTTCAGATTCTGATTCAGATTCTGTTCCAATTCAGTCCTGATTGGTTCAGATTCTGATTCAGATTCTGTTCCAATTCAGTCCTGATTGGTTCAGATTCTGATTCAGATTCTGTTCCAATTCAGTCCCTGATTGGTTCAGATTCTGATTCAGATTCTGTTCCAATTCAGTCCTGATTGGTTCAGATTCTGATTCAGATTCTGTTCCAATTCAGTCCTGATTGGTTCAGATTCTGATTCAGATTCTGTTCCAATTCAGTCCTGATTGGTTCAGATTCTGATTCAGATTCTGTTCCAATTCAGTCCTGATTGGTTCAGATTCTGATTCAGATTCTGTTCCAATTCAGTCCCTGATTGGTTCAGATTCTGATTCAGATTCTGTTCCAATTCAGTCCTGATTGGTTCAGATTCTGATTCAGATTCTGTTCCAATTCAGTCCTGATTGGTTCAGATTCTGATTCAGATTCTGTTCCAATTCAGTCCTGATTGGTTCAGATTCTGATTCAGATTCTGTTCCAATTCAGTCCTGATTGGTTCAGATTCTGATTCAGATTCTGTTCCAATTCAGTCCCTGATTGGTTCAGATTCTGATTCAGATTCTGTTCCAATTCAGTCCTGATTGGTTCAGATTCTGATTCAGATTCTGTTCCAATTCAGTCCTGATTGGTTCAGATTCTGATTCAGATTCTGTTCCAATTCAGTCCTGATTGGTTCAGATTCTGATTCAGATTCTGTTCCAATTCAGTCCTGATTGGTTCAGATTCTGATTCAGATTCTGTTCCAATTCAGTCCTGATTGGTTCAGATTCTGATTCAGATTCTGTTCCAATTCAGTCCTGATTGGTTCAGATTCTGATTCAGATTCTGTTCCAATTCAGTCCCTGATTGGTTCAGATTCTGATTCAGATTCTGTTCCAATTCAGTCCTGATTGGTTCAGATTCTGATTCAGATTCTGTTCCAATTCAGTCCTGATTGGTTCAGATTCTGATTCAGATTCTGTTCCAATTCAGTCCTGATTGGTTCAGATTCTGATTCAGATTCTGTTCCAATTCAGTCCCTGATTGGTTCAGATTCTGATTCAGATTCTGTTCCAATTCAGTCCTGATTGGTTCAGATTCTGATTCAGATTCTGTTCCAATTCAGTCCTGATTGGTTCAGATTCTGATTCAGATTCTGTTCCAATTCAGTCCTGATTGGTTCAGATTCTGATTCAGATTCTGTTCCAATTCAGTCCTGATTGGTTCAGATTCTGATTCAGATTCTGTTCCAATTCAGTCCTGATTGGTTCAGATTCTGATTCAGATTCTGTTCCAATCCAGTCCTGATTGGTTCAGATTCTGATTCAGATTCTGTTCCAATTCAGTCCTGATTGGTTCAGATTCTGATTCAGATTCTGTTCCAATTCAGTCCTGATTGGTTCAGATTCTGATTCAGATTCTGTTCCAATTCAGTCCTGATTGGTTCAGATTCTGATTCAGATTCTGTTCCAATTCAGTCCTGATTGGTTCAGATTCTGATTCAGATTCTGTTCCAATTCAGTCCTGATTGGTTCAGATTCTGATTCAGATTCTGTTCCAATTCAGTCCTGATTGGTTCAGATTCTGATTCAGATTCTGTTCCAATTCAGTCCTGATTGGTTCAGATTCTGATTCAGATTCTGTTCCAATTCAGTCCCTGATTGGTTCAGATTCTGATTCAGATTCTGTTCCAATTCAGTCCTGATTGGTTCAGATTCTGATTCAGATTCTGTTCCAATTCAGTCCTGATTGGTTCAGATTCTGATTCAGATTCTGTTCCAATTCAGTCCTGATTGGTTCAGATTCTGATTCAGATTCTGTTCCAATTCAGTCCTGATTGGTTCAGATTCTGATTCAGATTCTGTTCCAATTCAGTCCTGATTGGTTCAGATTCTGATTCAGATTCTGTTCCAATTCAGTCCTGATTGGTTCAGATTCTGATTCAGATTCTGTTCCAATTCAGTCCTGATTGGTTCAGATTCTGATTCAGATTCTGTTCCAATTCAGTCCCTGATTGGTTCAGATTCTGATTCAGATTCTGTTCCAATTCAGTCCTGATTGGTTCAGATTCTGATTCAGATTCTGTTCCAATTCAGTCCTGATTGGTTCAGATTCTGATTCAGATTCTGTTCCAATTCAGTCCTGATTGGTTCAGATTCTGATTCAGATTCTGTTCCAATTCAGTCCCTGATTGGTTCAGATTCTGATTCAGATTCTGTTCCAATTCAGTCCTGATTGGTTCAGATTCTGATTCAGATTCTGTTCCAATTCAGTCCTGATTGGTTCAGATTCTGATTCAGATTCTGTTCCAATTCAGTCCTGATTGGTTCAGATTCTGATTCAGATTCTGTTCCAATTCAGTCCTGATTGGTTCAGATTCTGATTCAGATTCTGTTCCAATTCAGTCCTGATTGGTTCAGATTCTGATTCAGATTCTGTTCCAATTCAGTCCCTGATTGGTTCAGATTCTGATTCAGATTCTGTTCCAATTCAGTCCTGATTGGTTCAGATTCTGATTCAGATTCTGTTCCAATTCAGTCCTGATTGGTTCAGATTCTGATTCAGATTCTGTTCCAATTCAGTCCTGATTGGTTCAGATTCTGATCCAGATTCTGTTCCAATTCAGTCCCTGATTGGTTCAGATTCTGATTCAGATTCTGTTCCAATTCAGTCCTGATTGGTTCAGATTCTGATTCAGATTCTGTTCCAATTCAGTCCCTGATTGGTTCAGATTCTGATTCAGATTCTGTTCCAATTCAGTCCTGATTGGTTCAGATTCTGATTCAGATTCTGTTCCAATTCAGTCCTGATTGGTTCAGATTCTGATTCAGATTCTGTTCCAATTCAGTCCTGATTGGTTCAGATTCTGATTCAGATTCTGTTCCAATTCAGTCCTGATTGGGTTCAGATTCTGATTCAGATTCTGTTCCAATTCAGTCCTGATTGGTTCAGATTCTGATTCAGATTCTGTTCCAATTCAGTCCCTGATTGGTTCAGATTCTGATTCAGATTCTGTTCCAATTCAGTCCTGATTGGTTCAGATTCTGATTCAGATTCTGTTCCAATTCAGTCCTGATTGGTTCAGATTCTGATTCAGATTCTGTTCCAATTCAGTCCTGATTGGTTCAGATTCTGATTCAGATTCTGTTCCAATTCAGTCCTGATTGGTTCAGATTCTGATTCAGATTCTGTTCCAATTCAGTCCCTGATTGGTTCAGATTCTGATTCAGATTCTGTTCCAATTCAGTCCTGATTGGTTCAGATTCTGATTCAGATTCTGTTCCAATTCAGTCCTGATTGGTTCAGATTCTGATTCAGATTCTGTTCCAATTCAGTCCCTGATTGGTTCAGATTCTGATTCAGATTCTGTTCCAATTCAGTCCTGATTGGTTCAGATTCTGATTCAGATTCTGTTCCAATTCAGTCCTGATTGGTTCAGATTCTGATTCAGATTCTGTTCCAATTCAGTCCTGATTGGTTCAGATTCTGATTCAGATTCTGTTCCAATTCAGTCCTGATTGGTTCAGATTCTGATTCAGATTCTGTTCCAATTCAGTCCCTGATTGGTTCAGATTCTGATTCAGATTCTGTTCCAATTCAGTCCTGATTGGTTCAGATTCTGATTCAGATTCTGTTCCAATTCAGTCCTGATTGGTTCAGATTCTGATTCAGATTCTGTTCCAATTCAGTCCTGATTGGTTCAGATTCTGATTCAGATTCTGTTCCAATTCAGTCCTGATTGGTTCAGATTCTGATTCAGATTCTGTTCCAATTCAGTCCTGATTGGTTCAGATTCTGATTCAGATTCTGTTCCAATTCAGTCCTGATTGGTTCAGATTCTGATTCAGATTCTGTTCCAATTCAGTCCTGATTGGTTCAGATTCTGATTCAGATTCTGTTCCAATTCAGTCCTGATTGGTTCAGATTCTGATTCAGATTCTGTTCCAATTCAGTCCTGATTGGTTCAGATTCTGATTCAGATTCTGTTCCAATTCAGTCCTGATTGGTTCAGATTCTGATTCAGATTCTGTTCCAATTCAGTCCTGATTGGTTCAGATTCTGATTCAGATTCTGTTCCAATTCAGTCCTGATTGGTTCAGATTCTGATTCAGATTCTGTTCCAATTCAGTCCTGATTGGTTCAGATTCTGATTCAGATTCTGTTCCAATTCAGTCCTGATTGGTTCAGATTCTGATTCAGATCCTGTTCCAATTCAGTCCTGATTGGTTCAGATTCGGATTCAGATTCTGTTCCAATTCAGTCCTGATTGGTTCAGATTCTGATTCAGATTCTGTTCCAATTCAGTCCTGATTGGTTCAGATTCTGATTCAGATTCTGTTCCAATTCAGTCCTGATTGGTTCAGATTCTGATTCAGTTCCGTTCACAGTCCTGATTGGTTCAGATTCTGATTCAGATTCTGTTCCAATTCAGTCCCTGATTGGTTCAGATTCTGATTCAGATTCTGTTCCAATTCAGTCCTGATTGGTTCAGATTCTGATTCAGATTCTGTTCCAATTCAGTCCTGATTGGTTCAGATTCTGATTCAGATTCTGTTCCAATTCAGTCCCTGATTGGTTCAGATTCTGATTCAGATTCTGTTCCAATTCAGTCCCTGATTGGTTCAGATTCTGATTCAGATTTTTGAAAAATATGTGATGTCGTAATGAAATTGGTCGATACACTTCTTGTCAATCTTTTTTGTCAATTCAAATATTTGTATTCTACACTTTCCAGTGTAGAATCTCATCAACATTGTCTATTTTTAGGATAGTGTTTTTACGCATTAGATTCCACCTATATTGTACTAAACCAATATTAAAAGCAAATATTTAATTTTTTTGCTTTTTTAAGAAAACATGAAATTCTTCATTTTTGCCTTTATGCTTTCCTTATTTCCGGTCATTTTGGCAAAACCATGGTGGTGTTGGCTTCCTTGGAATCTTGACGGTGAATGGAACGATTGCGAAAAGGCAATGGCAGCTCAGGTTTGTCTTTATGTTAGATGCATACCTGAATAGCATTAACAATAACAACATTAGTAAAATTAATAGCATTCATAATATTCATAATAATTAACAAGATTAACGACACTAAACATTACAACATTGATAATAATATTACTAGCAGCCATTGTGGTGTTGGCTTCCTTGGAATCTTGACCATGTAGATTGCCAAAACCCAGTGCCAGCTGACGAGGTTTGTCTTTATGTTAGATGCATACCTGAATAGCATTAACAATAACAACATTAGTAAAATTAATAGCATTCATAATATTCATAATAATTAACAAGATTAACGACACTAAACATTACAACATTGATAATAATATTACTAGCAATAATCACATTAATAACACAAATAGCTTTATCATATTAATAACATTCATAGCATTCATAAGACCAAATAAATTAATAAAATTGATTAATAAATTAACTAAAATTAATTTAGCGATGTGAGCCGGCCTGTCCTGATTTAAAGTGTTGTAAAGGGTTTTATTGCATACCGGTTTTATTGGTTTGTGCTCCAAAATACCGAGATCCTCTGGGGCCATAGGGATTGTTGATGCAGCCGGAGATATTGAATAAATAAATTTTTAGCTTCAGCCTTCACTTTAAACCTTCAAATGAAAACCTTGCGACTTTAAACGGCGTATCAACTGCTTCATTAACTTACTATACTATGAGAGTCTGATCTTAATTAAAACAAACCACAGCTGTTTAATTAAATTTTGAATTTAGCCATGTTAGGACAAAATTTTTTGGATTTTCATTATATTTAACTGCGTTTGTTAACGTAGCTAATGTGTGCCTAAAGAATGATCGATGGCTACTTACTATACTATGAGAGTCTGATATGTTTAGTTTCTTTTCAGAAAATTGAGCATACATTCACCTGAAAACACTCAAGTTAAATTACTCAAGTTACTATTAGAGAAAAAGGAAAAAAAAAGAGCCATAATGATTGCATAATGATAAAAGTGAGCGACCATAAAAGTGTGTTATGAGCTGTGAGAGCACAAAGTACACTGAAGAAGATTTTAAAGATCAAGTTTCAATCTACTCAACACAAGTTGTAGGCGAACATTAACAGAAAGATATTATGTTTACTAAGGCTTAGATTGAGAAGATTGAATAAAGTGACCAGAGAGTGTTACAAGATTTGAGAACACAAAATATTTATATCTTACACCTGCAATTTTAGCAACCAATTTCACGAGGTTAAATAGCTAAAAAGTTTGAGTTCATTTGCACCACTATAAACCGGTCTACCTAGGTCTAGGTCCTAGTCTTGATACGCATTGCTTTACTGTGGGCCTGTAGTATTTCTTACCGGTCTTTCACCTGGTTTACAATCCCATAGCCCAAACCAGCTTATCAAGGATACCGGATTTCTCTAGTAGTAGTGCACCAGAGGGTTGCTTAAATTCGTCAAAATCTCGAGAACCGCTTAGCAGAATCTATTGATGTGGGGTCGGAAATGTAGCTGACGATCAGATCTTGTGGGGCGTTTGAGTTCAGCTTCTGCAAAAGCTTCGAAACCGTAAAATAGTCACCAACTCGGCTCCCCGGAGTGCATACTATTAGAGAAAATATGGTAACAAATTTTCAAACCGCCTCAAACGAGTATAAATTAAAACCCCAGAGACCCGTTTGTCATCAAGAAAATTGAAACTCAAACTTTTTTAGCTATCTAACCCTTTCGTGGAAATTTACTCGTATCCAAGATTTTGGAAGAGCCATAAAAAACTGCAGGTTGAGTTCGCTTTCGAGATGGGACGGGAGCGGGACAAATGCAACCTTTTTTTTGCGTTTTAAACAACCTCTAAAAAGCTAATATTAACGAATTTCTATTGCAGTTTGAGAGTTATAGAATTCTAAAAGGTCAATAAAATTGAACAAGGAGTGGAAAAACTAATCCAATTTTTACATGAACTTCTTTGAAACATGACTTTTTCTTTGGCTAAAGAGACAGATTAGAGAATCACTTAGTTAAAAAAGTAATTAAAGTAAAACTCTGGATAAGTTGAGTAATAACATTTGAATTAAGCACAAATCTTTTTTGGTTGTTTTCTGGTGCTTATGCTATTTTTTTATAGCTATTGAGACTAACAAAAAAATTCTAGCAAGAGAAAAGCTTAGGTTTCAATTTTGGGCAAGTAGGGAAGTGAGGAAGTCTCGATAATCCTTTGAACCCCAGCAAGCTCTTCAGAAACCGGCTTTCACCGGCATTTTGTGCGTTTAAAAGTGCTACTTGGTTTTGCTTTTTAAGCCTTTAAGTATAAAAAACCAAAAAAGATTTGTGCTTTTTGCTTAGTCACAATTCACAATGCTAACCTAAAAGTGACGAAAATTCGAGTAAAATTTGAAATTCCTATATCAAAGAGGAAAGAATTGAATTAATTCTTAAGATTTCACTTATAGATTAGATATTTTGAAACATGAATACTTCTCCTGATTATTCAATTGTTTTTGCGGAGGGTTTTGAGACGGCACAGGGAAAACTTGTTGTCATCTTGGGGCAGGTCTTATGTGCTATGAACTGTCTTCTGTCTGTCTGGAGGATACTGTAGTCTGTCTTCTGTTGTCTGTCTGCCTTCTGTCTGTCTGTCTTTCTTGAGGTTATTGTAGTCAGTCAGTCAGTCTGTCTGTCTATCTTCTGTCTGTCTTTCTGGAGGATACCGTAGTCTGTCTCTCTGTCTTTTTGTCTGCCTTTCTGCCTTTCTTGAGGATACTGTAGTCTGTCTGTCGGCCTCTCTCGAGGATTGTAGCCTGTCAAAAAAAATTTTGGAAGAGCCATAAAAAACTGCAGGTTGAGTTCGCTTTTGAGATGGGACGGAGTGGGACAAATGCATAAAAAACATAAAAATTGCTTCCAGGAGCGCTGGTCGGTTGGCTTAGCGGGTGTTCTCATCAAGATCAGCTTCTTATCAAGATCAGCTTAACCTGGTCAAAACCTGGTCAAGATTTTGTTTTCAAAAGCTTTTCCTTTCAAAAGTTTTTGCTTAGATTTTGATGAAAGCTTTGATGAAAGAGTTGAGCTGAAAAGCATAGAGTTTCCGAGACTGCGGAATGGGACGCGATGTGATGGCGAAGAAGATTTTGATTCAGGTTTTCATTTGAACAGAACAAAACTGAAATATTAGAAAAGGAAAGCTTTCACCTGAACTCAAAGAACTCGAAAATCTCTAGTTTCTAGATCTTTCTAGTTTCTAGATCTAGATTTTAAAGAATCCTCTAATCAATCCGAGACTCGAAATCAATCAGATTCGACGGACGGCGATGGTGAAAGGGCTGAATCGACGGAAGAATGCGAGGAACGCGTCTTCTTTTGACTCACACCTGGAAAATCTCCAAAATTATGTAAAATCTATTCAATTCTTGAGCGTCAAGATGTTCTTTGTGCTCTAAAATTCATTGATATGAATCATCATCTCTAGTTTCTAGATCTTTCTACATCAAAAATAGGTACCTAAACTTTCTGAAAATATTATCAGCTTATAAATTTACAGTTTTTGAAACCTAAACAATTCCAAACATCAAACAAACCTAAACTTAAACAATTCGAACATTAATTTACCTGTGCCAAAAGCTTTTTCTGTTCTTGTTGATTCTCAAAGAGATCGGTGGCGAAGATGCAGAAAATCGGCACCGAAAAGTAGAGATCTCAAAGCTTGTCAGTTGATTCTCAAAGAGATCTCAAAGCTTGTCATTGGAGAAATAAAGCTGATGTGAATGTCAGGATGAGAAACTTCGATTGTCACTCTGGAGCTCACTTGAATCTCACTGTAGATTGAGTGAAGGAGGGCAATTTTCTGAGTAAAAATTTTCATGCAAAATAATGGCTAAAGCCTGAAGATACGTTCATCAATTGTCGTTTTGAGCTTTAAAAGGATTACTGTGGATTTCCAGGATCCCAAACAATTTTGAATCAATTTTCGGCTTCCCAAACAATCACAAATCACGATTGCCTCAAATACGGGTTTTCGCTCATTTTCTTGTACAGTTATCAGCTAATGGGTGCTGCTACACTGGTTGTCAAAGAACCAGCCCATTGGGTCATGTGTTCCAGCCAATGCACTGCTAATAATTCTCTTTGTCAAAACAGTTTGTTCTAAAATTTTTGCAGCCTTCTTTACCGTGTATGTGTCTTTATCAATGTTCCACAGTAATCCCTATGAATCATTCTGAAACTCAAGAATTTCAATGGTATTCTTGAGAATTTTTGTTATAAAAGACAATAAAAGACAATAAAGCAATGAAATGTGAAATTATTAAATTATTTTCCATTGCCAAAGAACAAAAACGGGTATTTTTCCCGACATAAAATCTCACGCTTTGCATAAAAATTTACAGTAAAAGTGAGTGGTAAAACTATAAGTAGAGTAAACTAAAGTAAACTACCGTAATAATTCTAATAGAAGGCCAGTCTCTAATAGAAGCTGACGATAGCTGACGAAGCAGCTGACGATCAGATTTTGTGGGAGGTTCGAGTGTTCAGCTTCTGCAAAAGCTTCGAAACCGTAAAATAGCTATCAACTCGGCGCCGTGAGAGATTCGAGAGAGAATACGGTAAACTGAATCCTTCAACGTGTACGGCTATCAATAACGAAACATTTGAAGCCATGAAGTTCAATCTAATATAATCTCTTTAGAAAATCATTTAAATTCATTTAAAACCCATTTCTATCACATAAAGAACTTAAAAAGACGAACAATTCTCGTAAATTCAAACTCGATTCAAGTTTTTCCCTCAAATTTCCAATTTCCCCTCAATTCTTATCACTTTTTCATACTTAGATCGGATTTTTCAGCTTTTCGAGCCAAATCTTTTCAGAAATTTCGGAAAAATGAAGTTTAAATTTTAAACTCTCAATTTTTCACCTTGATAACAGTCCTCTTTTGTTATTTTAGTGAAAAAAAAAGTGCACTTTTCACAGCTGAAATTCAAAAATTTGATAAGTTTTACAAATTTAACTGTAAAAAGAGGTTGCCTTTGAAAAAAGAGTAAAAAGAACTTCAACTTTTACTGTTGAAATTATCTTCAACTTTTACTACTGTAAAAGTAGTTTACTTTAGTTTACTCTACTTGACAAAAAAGCTCACCCTACCGCTCACATCCGGCGATTTGTGGACGGGCGGAATGGAGACTTCGGGTAATTTTAAACAAGAAATAGTTATTTTATGATTTTCTCTTGAAAATTTTCATTTTTCAATGTTAGCGAGAGTTTGGGTAGAGTTTAAGAGTTAATAAGTTAGAATTCGCTTTCAAAATCAAAACCTTTACAGTGACGACTCTCCGGTGGGCGATCATCTTTCTAATGTACCATCCGCATATTCAAAAAAGGCTACACGACGAGATCGATCAAGTGAGTTCAAAGTTTCAAGGTTTATGACTTGAAAATGAGCTTTGAACAAAAAAAATCGGATTGCTATTTATTCCAAAACTGCTTTCAAAAAAAGCTGGTACTTGTAATCAGTAGATCGATGTAATTCAGATTCAGATTCAAAAAAATTACGATTTATCAAAATTCAGTTTCAAATTTCTCATTTAGTGGCTTCAGAAGAAAACATCTAATCGAAGAAGCTTAAATCGTTCAAGTTCTAGGCGAAACATTGAATTTTAAGAATTTGAAGGTTAAATCTTTGAGAAAAGTTTTGAAGTTTCAATTTTGACCCTAAATGGCTCAAGATCTGAATCGCTATCATTAGTCAAACAGTAGAAATTTCAAAACTCCGTTTTCAGGTCTTAAAGGCTCAAATAAATTTTGGTGTTTCAAATTTACTTTTTATTGGCTCAAGCTTTGTCTTTGTAATCTCTGCTCAATTCGGGTCATTAGCAGTTAAAGGTTAACATGGGAATTGTTGAAATTCCAGCATTTTCCAGGTTCTCGGCGATTCCCGAGCCACGTACTCTTGCCGAAATCAAAAGTTTTTCAATTCTAACACTCATCTACTCTTTCGTGAATTCGAATTTTTCTTTGAAACAATCCTTGAAGGATTGTTCGCCTGGGTTCTTTGGCCATCAAAAATCTCAAATCATCCACGCAACCACTCTTCTTAAAACACTGTACTGAAATAAAGTCCTCAACTTTGTAGAAAAGCCTTCCTCTCAATTCCAACTCCATTTCTCTACAAAGCTTCACATCTTCTGCACTTTTCCATAAAGGATTAGCGGCGAAAAGCGATTAAAGCAGGCTTTAAAAACCGTATCCCTTTCAGATCGTTTACATCGGTCAACTCTCAATCGGTACCCCGGCACAGCGCTTTAACATGATTCTAGACACCGGTTGGTTACAGAAAATGCATTACATTGGTTTTAAAAAATGATAACTATAAGTTAAAAGGCTAAAGTAAACCTTTATCATCAAAGGACTCAGGTTCCTCCGATTTGTGGGTGCCCGATTCGAGCTGCCGCGGGATCCCTGGATGTCCGGACTATTGCAATAGGTTGCCCAAGGTAGTTTAAGTATTATCAAAGTAAAAGCCAGCCTTAGATTGTTGTGAAGTATTTTTAGAGCACTTTTTAGGAATCATTTACAGAAAAAAGAAAACTAATTTAAATAAACGATGTTGAGAGATTGAGAAAATCGAGAAAATCACTCAATTTTCTTAATGCTCAATTTTAGTTTAATTCTGATCTATTATTGAAATATTATTGAGTGAAATGTATTAAAAAAGAAAGAACTTAATTCTTGGTTCATCAATTAATGATTGCGTTTTAATGATCGCATTTTAATAATTGCATTCTTTTTAACAATCCTTTAAAGAGCGATTTCTTTTTTCAAGTTTCAACTTGAAAGATGATCAATAAGTTTTTACAGTTTTAATCGTTGCATTGTGCTTTAAACTTGAAAAATGCTTGAAGAAATGAGCGTAAAACTCTTTGAAATCTTTGAAAAAAGTTGATTTATCAAATTTAAAAGTCTTATAATTGATGAACCAAGAATTAAGTTCTCTCTTTTTTTCTATTTACTAAAGGGTAAAGGGAAACCATTTCATTTTCTCACATTTCTATCTATTTTTACAGTAAATCGTCTAGCTCTTTACATTCCCAAGCTCCTAAAGCTCTTAAATGTTTCAAATTCTTCCAATTTGACCCCGAAAATCCGATCTACCGTATCCATTTCCCATGGCTGGCCGCAAAACTTGACAAAAACGAGTGAAGACAAGCGACAAAAAAAGGCAAAAAGAGACAAATTACATGCAAAAAAACGGCTTGAAAAAGAGAATCTCCGAACGACAAAGACGACAAAAAGTGTGCGGAGAGGAGGAAGAGAAAGAACATCGCTTTTTTTGATGAGAAAATTAGCCACACCTCTTTGTGTCGAGGGAGAGAAAGCAGCGTACTAAAAAGGCATTGAAAAAAGTTGAGTTTCAACTTTTGCAAATTGGCGAGTGGTTTTGGTTTCGTAGTGTTCAGGCGTTGGATTTTTCTCTCCCCAATCCTTTTCCTAAAGCTCATCCATTTCAGTCAAAACTACCGTAATCCAGCGTCATTTAACTAAGCCTTATGATTCCCTCATCGAATTTGACTAAAATTGGGTCATAAGGCGAAAATTCGATGAGGGAATCATAAGGCTTAGTCAAATGATAAAAAAGCATTTACAAGTTTAAATAAACATAGGAGTAAAGTAAAGAAAGAAGTAAGAAGAAAGAAGAAAAACTGGCGCGGGATTACGGTAGTTTTGACTGGAATACCTTTTAGAAAATGGATCAGCTGGAGGATTGGAGGTATTAGTACTGTTTTAAATTATTCTTTGATATGCTCACAATTGCAATTTTTCTCCAACTTAAAGAGTGATTTACCATTTGCTATAATCCTCGCTGTTAGTTGAATTTTCGTTTTTTTGCGAGCAGGCCATAAAGAAATCACGTCCGTATTCCGTCTGCCAGTTTTCCTTTTGATCAGCCCAATTTTGGTCCACTTCTATGTTTATTTAAACTTGTAAATGCTTTTTTTAAAAATTGAGTTTCAAAATTCTCGGGCTGGGGATCGGGGTCGGGCTTTTTATTGGGGTGCTGGTCGAAACCTGCAACTTCAACAGTTCTTCTTGACGATCTAATTCTTTTCTATAATTCCTTTCAATCTTACGATGACAAAATGTTTCAAACGTTTCAAAGTATTCATGTATCACGAGTAAAGCTTATTTTGATTGATAGATTGCATTTTGATTGGTCCTTAGATTGCATATTGCATATTGTATTTTTCGGAATTCAGCCTCAACCAACCAGAAAACAATTGTTTTTCACGCCATTAAGCTTTTTGATTTAAACGAATTTCAGCAGTTTAAAGTTGAAGTGGCCAGCCTTTAGACCAGTTTTTAATGGAATTAACGATTAATGGAATGATTAATGATTAATGATTAATGATTAATGGAATAGGCAATGAGTCAAACTCTCACAAACCTAGAATCAAGTACTTAAAATAGGGAAAATTGTGATTAAGGCAAATTGATCGGATGATTTTTTGAAATACAGCTTTTCTGTAAAACAGTCTCGACTTTTTCACAACATTTGGATTTCAAATCTTACCCATCACTTTATTGACTTTCTAATCTCGTGTTTTGTTCATTAATTTCCCGCGAATTTCATAAATCCTTGATTGATCATTTTTCGATTTGTCCCTCTCTCTCGCAGACAACACCAAAACTTATTTACCCAGACTTACCGTAACCCTTAGAAAATCGATTTTCCAAAGAAAAACCCCAAAAAATGCTTCTCTGTAAAACAGTATTGTTTGTTTAGTATCTAAATGACTAATTTTAAGCAGTAGTTTTATTTTTTAAACTTTATTTTTAGTCGTTCAAAAAGCAACAAAGCGATCAATTATCAAAACTCCAAGTGGTTGTTGTGAAATCGCCACTTTCAATTGCAAAGCCTAAACTGGAAAAACCTAAAATTGTGCCAGCTCTACCTGTGAAATCTCCACGAGACAGGGAATTTATTTATTTATTTAAAGTATAGACCGTATCTAGGATATAGCAGTTAGAATATCCCTAGTAGCTTATCAGATGCAAAAGAGAGGCTATGGTCCCTTATCTATTGCCCTTCTTATACTCCCTCATAGCATATTCCCCTCTCCAAAATTAGGCTAATTGAAATTTGTTACGTTAATGTCTTTGTCTTTTAAATGTTACGTCTACCAATTGAAATAAAAAAGTACCTTTACCTGTCATCTTTCCTTTACGCCCTTTTCTTCTTCGTCAACAACGTCATTCCACAAACGATGACCACCATGGGACAACTCTATCAGGTAAGAGGAAACAGAAAAGGTCTCTTCTCCCTTTCTAGTATTCTAGTTTCTAGTATTTCTCTCCCTTTCCCCTCTTCCGCATTTCTCTTTTCCACATCTCATTTCCCCGTCTTCTTTTCGATTTCGATTACGGTGTGTGGTTTAAAAGTGATGGATACTGTAGTTTCTTGTTAGGTGATAGATACCGTACACCCAAGCATTCATTTTTTAGAACTTTCTTTTGGTAAGCTTTTGAAGATTCAGGGTGTTTGTATTCTTTACTGTATATTGGCCAGGGACTAGTCAATATACCGCAACCCATGTGCTTAGCTTAAAGAAGCTAAGCTAGGAATCTTAGCTAAGATTCCTAAACCGAAATCTTAGCCCAGAGTCATCTCAGTATTATCCTGAGCTCGTGGACACTCTCTGGACCTGTGTTTAGAGGCGGAAGGCGGAGAGGCTGTAGAGACTTGCTCTGGTCTAGAGAAGTCCAGAGAAGTCCAGAGAAGTCCAGAGATGTTGATAATCTGAACCTAGACTTTCTAGCTTTTAAGATCTCTGTCTTGTCATAAAAGAAATCGTTTCAGGTGCAACGAAAGCCGAGAAATGAGTTGGGTGGAGAGGTAGTGAAGAAGATGGAATCTCGTCCTTCATTTCAACCATCGCTGAAGAGGGGAACGTCCGAATGATACGACCGATGATGTCACCATATATGAGAATGGTTCGCTTTCTTAAGTGCATTAAATTATAAGCCAGTGGACTTGAAAATATCGACTTGAATAGGGGCTTTAAAGCGTGACTTGGTTTGTGACCCGTGACGTGACTATTTGGATGACGTGATCCGTCATCCAGTTTGTAGATGTTACAGTAGTTCAAAAGTCTACCGTAATCATAAAGATTACTGTAACATAAGTTGATAGGAACATGTGTATCTAGCCCGGGTTACGGTAGCTGGAGGAAGCTTTAGAGTTTCCGGAAATTGAATGTTCAAGCTTAAACACGATTCTTTTCAGACAGCTCGTCACGCAGCTTGATGCAATGATTTGAACGCGGAAAAAGAAGAAAAATTCACAACTTTTCTTAATAAATATTTATCATTTGATTATTTGATTGATTTTTGATTGATTTAGAGTTTCACTTGAGACAAAGAAGTGATTGAATGACGTCTTTCAAATTAAAGTACATGTCAGAGAGCTGGAAAAGGCATTTATCTAGTTGATTTGTTGAGTGCTTACCTTTTCTCGAAGTTTCTCAATCTTTTGCTGCAAGTGTTGAGCTTTGAGTGCAAGGGTTTCTCGGAGAGGCTTGAGCTTGGCTTGGCTGGCTTTACTGTAGATCTTGTTCACAAGACGTCCTTGGACCTGGTAAGCCTGCAACCATCTAAATGACTAATTTTAAGACAAAAAATGCCGAAATCTCAAGAAAAAGACCAAAAATAGCAGAAATTTTGGAAACCCGATTTTATCTTACAATGACAAAATGTTTCAAAGTAAAGCAAAAAATTACGATTTATCAAAATTCAGTTTCAAATTTCTTTTGATTATCACTTTTCCCCATGGCAGATACCCAAAAAGCGATGATAACTTTGGGCAACGGCGCCTTCAAACCGTGCTACCGCGACGCGCAAGTCATCGAAACGACCGCTGGATCAAAAGTTCGTTTAAAAGAAAATCGCTAAAGTAAAATGTTCTTGAAATGCAAGTTTCAACGTTTGATTCCTGATTTCATCAGCATTTTTGTGTCACAAAAAGACAGAGAGAGAAATCTTCAAGTTAAGGAAAAAGACGTTGTTTCTAATTTCTTCAGTAGAAGGCTAATTTCTTCATTTCAAAACTATAGCCTAAACTAAATTTGGCTATGGTTATTTCGAAATGGATATGATAGTAGTTACGAGAGATGAACGAAATCTGGTAGCGCATCAAAAATTTGGAATCCAAGTTTCAAAGTTTATGACTAGAGATGACCGTCAAGAAAATCAATTCGAATTTCGAAAATTTCGGGGATGATTTAGAATAAAGTCCATGAGGGAAACGAGCGAA